CACTAAATTCCCTATCTGACTTAAGTATCGGAGAGGCGACGAGCACACACCTCGTTGCCTTTGTTGCAAGTATTTGAAAGCCGTTCATGTTCATCAAAGTTCGGAGTTCAATCATTGAGTTCGACATCTTTCAGGTACTATTTTTTGGTAGCATCAGTAACTATAGACAATTTAATAGGATTAAGCATAAGCAAATTTATTAAGAACGTTGTATACTTTGAGACATGTTTGATAATATTGCATTGCTTAAATAAGAGACTTGACCATGTATCATCTAATTATGATTGGGACGATAGTATGTTCAAAAAAAAAAATGAAAATATATTCTAGATCGTATATTTTACTAAGTAGACATTCTTGTATAATTCAGTTGGGGAAAATCAATTTTGTCCATCCAAATCCCGGGTACCCGTAGCTTGTTTACAGATTTCATCGTAGCATGAATGCTCGAATTCTTTTTTCTTGTAATCATGAGGTATCATGCTCCATCACGTTCATTATGCCCCCTGCTTGGTACATATTAGCGAAACAAGAAAGAGTAAGCAAAGAATATTATTTCTTTTTCTTTTGGATAACATAGCTTTTCTAGCAATATTATTTGTTAAGGTAGCAATCCAATTGTAAATTGTGAATGTCCATCATCAGGGGCGGAGCCAGGATTTTAGTTCAGTGCGGGCAAAATTTTTTCGACGACAAATGTCGAGGTTTTGGTCAGGAATTTAATGACGATAAGAAAATAAAACAATAGTACATCAATACTAAAAACGACATAATTTATATATTACACTTGTTCTTTGCGAGTTTTTATACTTTGATATCATTGTATAATAACTTCATTATTGAACCTCAATATATCTTTCTCCACATAAACAATTGTGCTATCATTCATCCACTGATCACCCAATTACTACTAGGAGTGGGAGTAATTCGAGATGTCAAATGAATCACAAATACTGGAAGCAACTCACAAAACTAGTGCAATTCACAATTTCACATAATCAATTCACAAACTCAAAAAACTAGTGCAATTCACAATTTCACAAAATCAATTCACAATCTCACAATGCAATATATACTATTTCCAAATACTTGGCAACTTGAACTTGCAATCACAGATTCCCAGAGAGCCAGAACCCAGAGGCAACAATGAACTGGTGGTTCACTGGAAGTTTGTACCGCTTCGAGCAATTAAAGAACAAAGTGCTAATTTCATATGTTAAAAAAAAATATTATTACAATTTACACAAATTGAATTAACCAAAAAAAAAATAAGGGAAAAAAAATTTGGGGCTTCGCCTTTTGCTTTCTGGAATCTGGCTTCTTCTTTTGCCAGCTCGGCTGGTTGGCTTTGGCACTTGGCGCCTTGGCGGAGTTGAGAATGTAAAGTCGAAGTCAGAGATGTGAGATGTCAAGATGAGAGCCTAGAGTAGGAGATATACAATAATGGATTGTCGAAGAGGGTAAGGGAACGATGGTCGTATTGTAACGACTATCGGAGACGACGGTTGACGGAGAGGGAACGGAACGGTGGGCTTTGTCACCGGTGGAGAGGGAAGTCGGTGGCGAAGTGTGAAATCGTCACAGACAAAGTCATGAAGGGTAGAAATTTTGAAATGAATGAATGGGTTTGGGTCAAAAATTGATTCAATTGAATTTTGATATGAATGGGTCTAAAACGGGTCATAACCTTGCACAATTGGGCTTGTCTCTCTGGGCTGGATCGAGAATTGGGTTACTGGGTTAAACAAACAAACAAACCTTAAAAAATAATAATAATAATTATTATTTTTTGGCCCAAAAGTCACTGGACGTATAGTGGCTCCGCCCCTGACAGAGTGTACTCTCTTGGGCTATCGTTACTTTTTGCAAGATACTTGAGATGGTTCTACCTCTTGAGCCATACGAGTGGTACCTTGACTCGCGCCGATATGGGACTGTGAAGCACAGTGGATTCGGTTTAGGCTTTGAACGGATGATTCTTTTTATTTTATTTTTTTTCAGTCTATGAAAGTAGACAATTCTAAATTAGGTTTCCCCTTTAGTTTTTTTTTTCCGAACGCAACAAGGTTCTTATCTTCCATCTGTTCGTCAATGTTCATTGGGACATGCTTGGTATATATTCGAAGAAAGTATGTATGTTGTGTTTGGTCCTTTAATTGCATCCAATTTTATTTAATTCAATAGGATAAACATGTCTGGTGTGATTTCTATCGATTAGACATCAATTTACTGTTTTTCAGTGCGAAAATGGGCATAAACTATTGAATTTGAACCTCAAATGGCTTGAGTCGCATGCGTAGAGGTTTGCCCATATGTGTTGAGGGGGATCTAGTTAAAAAACTAACTGGTTTTTAAAAATGTTGTAAAACTATTTTTAAAAATTTCGAACCAAACGTGATACCTAATTTTTTGTTTTGAGAAACAATTATTCAAAATGACAATTCAAATACTTTTTTTGGCGATTTTAAATTAAGCCCTCAAAAGATGAAACTGAAGTAAGTTCAAATTCAAAGTGAAACGCAAACCAAGGGTCTAATATATCCTACAGAAAAAAATTCAAGTAAGCACTCATCAAAGAGTCTTGATGTACTACCCAATCAAAGTCAATTGAATATGAGACATTCGAGTTATGGCAGTGTCAAACATGCCAAATTATTTTAACAAGTACCTGGTCTTAAGAATATGCAACTTCACTCAATTGAAGAAC